ATCGTTAACAATAATTTTAAGGTAGAAAGACCAAAGTAGGACCATTGAAAATATACCAAAATAGGACTTCCATGTTTTTATTACCGAAATAGTACTTACATTACCAAATATGGTCAAATACATAACCAAAAAAATATAGTAACGTGCACATGTGCACTGCCACATTACCACTGTGCAAAGTCCTATTTTAGAAAAAATAATGAAAACCCTATTTTTGTATTATTCTTTATGTTTTAGTTCTATTTAGAGTGATTTCTATAATTTTAAGACACTGTAGTCCTTGACTCACAACTTCTAAGTACCTTGACTTCAGCTTCGGACAGTTTGGAATCAAGCCTGATATTCAAGAAAAGAAGATATGTAATGCAGGAAAGAACGAAAAAGAATGTTGTCTTTTGTCTCCTTTAATTTTATGCTTCCATTTCTTTTGAAAATAAAAGAAACAAAAACAAAAACAAAAACATTCATTCATCAATCAAGGACTATTAATTACATAAAATCGATACTAGATATCGATATAAAAATGACTTTATTAAATTTATTTTGTGAAATATTTTTAAAATATGGTTTTATCTAATTTCAAAGATTGTAAGTGGTTGATTGCAAAAAAACAAATACTTAGGATGTAGGTAGTAACAAAGTAACATGAAAACATCAAAAATTGTTTATTTCAACTTCTTCCACTTTTTTCTAATTTCTTCCAATAATGAATTAAAAAACATATTTAGGTTTATTTTCATTTTTTTATTATTATCTCAATAAAATAAAATAGATTTGATGTTACAATTTATTAAATTTTTTATCTTGGATACAAATTTTAATTACCATTATTGAGTCACGTAATTTATTAAAATATTAAATTCAGTAATTTATAATTTCCTTTGTGATTTTGAATTATTGTTAACTACGAGTATGTTTTTTTAAAATATTTTCTTGTCAACATTTTAAAATTTTGACCAAAATAATTGCGTACTTACTTTTTTAATTAAGCATTACATTTTTTAAATGTGCATACACTAATAATTTTTATAGTGTACATGTTGTAAGCATATGAAAAAAATAAATGCTCGTACATCAATTTAATACACGAAGGAAAAATTGTGTAAAACTCATATTGTTTATTTTTTAAATGTGCATATGTTGGATGTATATTAAAAACTACCTTTGTTGTATAAAATTCTCTATTTGAGTTTTATAAAATAAAAAAATTAGAGAAGTAAAAACATATTCTTGAGGCGTACGAAAACAAAAAACTGAAAGTTTTTACGGGAATTAATTGACGCCTTTTATTATGCATCTTTTCCTCTCATTATTTTAGAATAGTAAACTTTTGGAAAATTAAAAGAATGTAATTTTTTTTGGGAATAAAAATAACTCTAACTCTTTTTCAACTAATATTAATAAAAAGTAATGGTTCATTTGTCTTCTTATTTTTTTTACATAGATTAGTGACATACAGCTATGAAATAAAAATGAAAATTTTTATGATTGATATTGGTTTTAAAAAAATTGCGAGTCACAAAAAATTACAAATATGATTTGGGATAAAATATAATGGCATAAAAAATAAAAAAAGATTAAAATTTTAAAAAGTAGAGTATATTTTTATGATTGATATTGGTTTTAAAAAAATTGCGAGTCACAAAAAATTACAAATATGATTTGGGATAAAATATAATGGCATAAAAAATAAAAAAAGATTAAAATTTTAAAAAGTAGAGTATATTTTTTTTTTAATAAAATAACATAAATATTATAATTTTTTAAACTCTTTCAAAAATTTTCTAACTCATTCCAGTTTTTTCCAACTATTTCCACCTACTTACAACTCCTTCGAGTTTCTTGCAACCCCTCCCAGTTTCTTCCAACTCTGTCCAGTTTTTTCCAACTATTTCCAGTTAGTGTCAACTCCTTCTAGTTTCTTCGCAATCCAACTTTGTTTTTCCAACTGAAAAAAACAGAGCTTAAATACTAGTATGAGAGAACATTAGGGAGTACATTTGGGAGAACATTGGGGTTTTACATTTGAGAGAGCATGATTAATAAGATATGTAAAACTTAACACCTACGTAGTACTCCTTAGTTGAGAATTATATATATATATAAGTGAAAAATGTTATAAACTGGGAAAAATATATATACTATACTTGTAAAACTTCAACGTTTTCGGGGTTAAGTTGAATGAAGCCTGGTCCGAAGTTTAATCACACCAACAGAATCAAACACATGAGCTAATTAAATTAACGCTAAGTTTGTTTTAGTGTAAAACGTTGGACCAATCTTCATCCATCTTAACCCTGTACGTACTAGCTATATAAATACCATCAATTTCATTATTTCAATACAGAGCAAACAGGCCGGTATATATAGACACAATTGTGTTAATTAACACGTCATTATTATTGATTAAAAAAAATCAAAAATAAAACATGGTTACGCATAAACTGCGTGTAGGATGACAAATTTCAACAATAGATTTGGCAAGATTTCGAGTGAAAAGCTAGTCAAAAGCAAGTTAATAAAGAGAGAAGCTAGTATAGCGGTCATATATTAATTTTTGAAATCTAAAGTAATAAGAAATCATTATTAATCTATACATATAGCAGCGAAGTTAATATGAATCCACAAGTCAATTTTTACTTTTGGATAGATGGAGGGACATCTATCCCGAGGAAAACTATATACTCCCTCCGTCTCAAATTATTTGTCACATTTGTATTCCTGAGACAAAATATTAAGTTTTTTCAATTTATTTTATTTACATATTAGTATAGAAATAAAAAATAAAATTTACATATAAAAAACTACATGAAAAGTTCTTCGAAATAAGAGGTGCCAAAAATATTTCATTTTATCAAATAATCAATGAAAACGTCGAAATAAACAAAAGTTCCCGCGACTGCTGAAAAAGCAAACGTTGTGAATATTTAGGGACGGAGGGAGTATTTTTTACTTTGAAATTTTTGAAAGTTCATAAAATAAATAATGCACACCACAAATCTCAAAAAAAAAATGAACATTAAAAAAAATTAATTTTACAAATAATTTTTTAAAAATTTACAGAACTCATATATCATAGAAACAATATATATATATACATATACATATATATATATATATATATATATATATATATATATATATATATATATATATATATATATATATATATATAAAAGAATGAATCTGGTGCTTTAGATTGTGAGATCTAAGGGTCAGGATTGCATCAAAATTAGGTGCACTAAAATGGTTTGAAAATGCATGATGTTGAAATGCACCAAAATCCTTTGGAAATGCACTATCTAAAAATCTGAGTACAGGATGCAATCTGAGCCGCATGATGCAACAGATCCAAAGGCTGGATTTTATTCTTATTTCTTTCACCAAGGTATATTCTCACCTGAACCGCCCAAAAGGGTATATGTGTGTGTGTGTGTGTGTGTCTATATATATATATATATATATATATATATATATATATATATATATATATATATATATATATATATATATATATATATATATATATATATATATATATATATATATACTCCCTCCGTCCACAAATAAACTTTACGTTCACTATTCACGGGGTCAAATTTTATTCACTTTGTTGACTTATTTTTGTCACCCATTTGATAAAATAATATAGCTATGTCACCTCTAGTTTTGTAGATCTTTTGATATAGTTTTTTAATATGTAATTTTTATTTTTCAATTCTACACCATTTTTCATATAAAATGATTTGAAAATAATTTCAGTCAAACATCGTAACGCGCAATGTAAAAGTTTATTTGTGGACGGAGGGAGTATATATATATATATATATATATATATATATATATATATATATATATATATATATATATATATATATATATATATACACACACACACACACATACACATATATATACACACACACACACACACATATATATAGGGGTCGGTTTCTGTGAGAATGGGGCTTGGTGAAAGAAATAAGAATTAACTTAGAAGCATTAGATTAGAAGTAGCGGATGGCTGTGATTAGGATTTTAAATGGATGACCAAACAAGTTTAAAAATGGTATGTAATAATTACAATGCATTAAAATAGGGGATGATAGTCCGCAGAGGGGCATATTTGGGTTTTCCAAGTGCAAAAAATGGTAATGATTTCACTAAGTAGTCGTATACCCCATATTTCTTCCTTTCAATAATATAATGAGATTGTATTATTAAAAATACATCTAATTCAGGAATATATTTTTTAAAATCACACTTCTCTGAAATTGTTTTGGGTAGATACATTGTGATATTTGCAAATGTCAATCTATTTGAGTGCACTGTGATGGTTGATATATGCATTGTGATTTGTTTTTTAAATTTTATTTAATTTTTTTTAATAGATTTATGGATTAGTGAATTATGATTTCTAAGCGACTTTGTATGTGATGAGAAAGCGTAAGAATGCATTGTATTGAGAATAATTAGTTTACAAATTTAAGAAATGGTTTGCCTATGCGGGATTTGAAACCACATCTGTAGTACATACTGAGTTATGTAAATGCATTACACTAATGATGATAATGCAAAAAATGAATTGAAATTGACAGAATTCAATTCTATGGAATTGAATCTCATGGAATTACAATTCCAATTCCACCAATTCCATATACCAAACGAACCCTTTGACTTTATTTATAATGCATCTTGAATTCTATGAGATGCATGCCTAGAGTGTGAGTCTTTGTTCAAGTCCAAACTTCTTTATTTTTAGTAAAACTAGATTGATCTTTGATTGACAATGAACCATGATTTGGAAATACCTGAGACAAAGAGACACTACAGATGTTAAAGTTTTCCAAAAGTGTAAGCATATGCGGCATCTGGATTCATATGCCTTTGTTGACACTAGAGTGCTACAGTGAGTGCATAAGAAAAACGAGGCGAGTGCAATATTCGTGAGACACAATGCTATGCCAAAAGAAAGAAATCTTGAAAATCTAACAGCACACCATATATATATATATGACAAGGAACAACGAACTCCAAAAAAACAACACAAGTAAACTCCCACTAATCAATCAACAAGAATGAAGTGGGTACAACAAGTTCTCCTCTCTAGTAAACACTAGAGGCAAATACAATCATTAAGGAGTAACCTTGGCACAACAACAATCAACAAATTCACCACAATGGAGTAAAAACTCAAAAAAAAAAATGCAGGTCTGAAAACACAGCAAGAGAACCACCTTCTGAGCATCAAAAGGAGAAATGAACTGTTGGATTTGAATAAGATGATGTGAGGAACAACATACTAAAATTTGGGCATGATCAAACTTCGTTTGACCTTCGATCCGTAAGGAAAATCAGGCTGCTGCACCGTTGGTCGAAAATTTTCTTCTCCTCCCTTATTCTGCATTGAGCTACTGCCAACCCCAAAAACTAATCTTTTCCTCTTTGTTTTTTTATTGTTCCTTAGCCACACAAATAAGAGAGTGATATTATCCAATTAAATTAGGCACTTCCTCAATGTTGGTGGGATATTTTTCAACATCTAAGAATAACAACAAATCTAAAACTGGTGCTCTGTGAAAAAAAAACACAAACACTTGGAATTTCAATTGGCTTATGTAATACTCCGTATGAAAAAAAATTAAATGTGAACATAAAAGTATAATACAGGTGCTTCATGCTAGAAAATAATTAAATTTGATACTTGAATGAGTCAAATTCTGGGTAAAAAATAATTTTACATACTAAAGGCAATAGGTCAAACATAAAGACTAGAAGTCCAAAATTTCTAGATAGAACAATTGATTGAATGGATTGAAAGATCAAACAAATACTCGTTTCCAATATACAAATGTGTGAATGGATTTGGGAAATCCAGTTAATATAGAGTGAACATAGAAAAATAAAATAAAAAAGCTTTGTGCCGAGATAAAGAACAAACACATACCTAATTTGATGATATAATTCCATGAACCCTAGCAATGGATGGAGACTGTTGCTTTCTTGTTGAACAGCAAAATCAGGAACTAGAAAAATCACAACAAAGAATTAAGATTGACATCGCAAGAAGAAAAGGAAACAGAAAACTAGAATGGTGGGGATTGAGCGCTGATTTTCCACAGAGAGAAAGAGAGAATAAGGGGCTGTTTGTTTCAGCCTCTTAGTGATTCAGATGTCTGAATGATTCAGCACTTAATAATTTAGACTGTTTGTTTCAGCCTCTTAATGGTTCAGATGTCTGAATGGTTAAGAGATTTGCCTCTGAATGGTTCAGACCTCTTATTTGAATTGATCAGACATTTGTCTCTGAATAGTTAAGCAATATACTAGCTCTTAATTGTTCAGACCTCTTACTAGTTCAGCACTTAACGGTTCAGACCTCTTACTGGTTCAGCACTTACCTATTCAGAAGTTGCCAAACAGCCCCTAAATCTAATGTAAAATCCCCAAAATAGGCAACACGTATATGCTTAAGAGTCTCTGTATTTCAACAGAAACCGAGACCTATATATATATATATATATATATATATATATATATATATATATATATATATATTCTCTTGCATTACTTTTGTAACAAGTTGTTTAGTAGTATCGGCCTATCGGTAGCTTGATTTTTGGAGTGTTATTATGTATTTGGGTTGTGCTACTCTCACCCCACTTTGTACCTCATTTTGTACCCAACGGTTTACCCTGACATAATACGTAAGTGCAACACTGACATAATATCAATTTTCACTTACATTTAATATTAAGGCAAACCTTTGGGATACAAAATGAGGTAGAAGTGTGATACAAATAGAACTTTCCTATGTATTTATGTGTTAGGTCTTGTGTTTGAAGTCTACCCTTAATATTTTATTTGGTAAATAAATACTACCTCCGTCTCACTCTCCTTGTCCACTTTTGACTTTTGGAACTATTAATCTAAGCACTTTTATTCATCAAATTCTCTCAATATGTAAGCCTAAATATAGTCATGTGTGATCTTGTTTGATTTGTCTTAACATATAGATTATTAATATATAATTTCTATAATTTTTTAATATACAAATTACAAGATAAAATGGATTAAAGAAGTACATTGGATGGTGTGCCAAAAGGTAAGTGGACAAATACTCTGGGACGGATGGTGTGCTAAAAGAAAAACTTTAAAGATAAAAAAAGGTTCTTACTCCAAACCTGTGCGAATGGTTGACCCGGTCTACTGGGTTGGGGCGGGTCCATTCGAAACAGAAGTCAAGTGTTAAATCAGACCTGATTGCTATTCGGTTCATAGTTCAGCCAGTCTGACTATAATAATATTGTTTTAAATTTTTACATTTAGATTTATTGTGTTGACTTGAGTAAAGTTATTTTAATTCTATGTATTTGAATATTGGTATAAAATTAACAAAAAAAAATTATATACTTCAGAGTATGTAAAGACTACATTAAGAGTTTTACTCAGTGCATCCTAAAATGATTGATCATTTGATAAAATTAAATTAAATTATCTTCTCACCTATGTAATTTCAAATACTCCCTACTTCCCAGTGTTTGTAACTCTCTAAACGATGTGCAAAATTCAATTACTTTTAAAATCATTTTAATTATAATTGATAAAGAAGTTAATACTACAAGAAGAATTTACCTAAATAGTACTAAAACATAATGATTTTCTCAATGAACCCGTTTGGAAATAGCGCTAGAGATTAGCGATTTGGATAAAATGTTAACGTTGCAGATTACTTTGAAAACGCTAACACTAAACGCTGTGCGTAGATAGCCTTTTCAAAACAATAACGTGGCTAAATCTATTCCCAAACAGGCCCAATGTAGTACCATATATTTTTATTTTTCAATGCGGTACCACTGGTCATTATACATTGGTCATTGTTCAAGTTAATGTCCACCGTCATTGGACATATTCAAACAAAATGTCCACCATCATTGTACATTGTCCCGCCACTAGACAGTATTCAAGTACTATTTACAAAATAAAGTGCAAGAATTGCATATTTTAGTAGTCGGTAATATTTAGTGCCAAATTTCACAAACAAGATGTCAAATAATTAAAGCTCCCCTGCGGCGCGGCGACCCACTACAATTAATTATGGGCGGATCCACGTTGTCCCCAATCAATTTTTCAATATATACTGTATACTTTTTATGGTAAATCAAAAGAGTGCCCCGAGCAAAAATATATGTGTACTCAATGCCTAAAAATTATAGAGTAATTATCTAAATAGAATATACTCCTTCTATCTCATAAAACTTTTCCTCTTTCGTTTTTTTTGTTTTCTACAAAATACTTCTACTTTTTATTAAAAAACCACTTTTACCTTTACTTTTTCATACCTTACCTATCACATCATATTTTTTCACTAATAACCAAACTATCACATCTTACTTTTTCCCATTACATCATGGACAAAATTGGAAAGTCAACCAAAATTACACTATCCTTATTTTTCCCCAAGGTCAAAACCGGAAAGATTTTGTGGAACGGAGGGAGTAATAGTTATATTAGGTTATGATATATATTATATTATATTTTTCAACTTCAAATTTATTATATTTTTCTTATTCAAATACTTGTTTGAAAATAAATTTGTTCATTTTCCCTCATGATAAATCCTCTAAAAAATCTGAGACCTCTGCACTTGAACCCCCCCCCCCCCCCCCCC